GTTTTGGGTCCGTTTTGGGTCCGTTTTGGGTCCGTTTTGGGTCCGTTTTGGGTCCGTTTTGGGTCCGTTTTGGGTCCGTTTTGGGTGAAATGAGATTTTTGGCACAAAATCACCGACCATGTTTGGTTTTTTTTATCAGATATTTACCACCAAATCGCCACCGTTTAGTTGTTTTCTATCAAACATATTAGCCCCATCCCAATTAGGCCTAGCTTTTCCCGGAGGAACACAAGGACAAATGCACAGAACAGACTTTATTTTATTTCTTAAATATTTTATTGAACCTTGATGCCCCAAAGGACTACAATAACAGTATAATTTTTCTAGGTTACAATGTAAACTATTTCACTTGATTTTAATGGTTGTTTCTACAGGATAAACACCCAGAAGTATTAAGTTAAAAGAGGTAAACATATCCTTTCTTACTTGATTTTCATACTTTTATGTTCAGTACTTATGCTTAACCCTAACACTCCTCAATCCTTCACCTGTTGAAGGATTGAGGAGTGTTAGGGTTAAGAATAGAAATGTAGTCTGGAAAACATCTAAATTTGAAAAACTTGAAGTTATATGAGAAAATAACGTTTGGATATATTTACCTGGCACATTCTTAGTAAAGTTGCTATATTACATAGAAATCTCTGTTTACTTTCTTCTGAAAGTTGGACTAAATTCAAAATATACAATGAAATACAAATATTTCTGGTCACTGTTCACAATTACACTGCAGAAAAATCGATTTACACTTTCTGAAACCTAGACTACACTTGTCACTGTTTTCAAAATATAGAAGAAAATACAGATACCAATATTTCTGGTCAATGTTAACACTTATATTAAACAAATTTGACAAAGCTACTTCAGTTCACCCTAAATAAGTAAACACTTTAATTCTTTGCTCGACTTTGAGACAATGTTTCATCTATAGCCTCTTGTCACCCATTTGAATGCACAAGTCATGTCCATTCAGTGAGTGCAAGGAATGGTCTAAAATAAAATGGAAACAACGTGAAATGTAATGGTGACATTTGAAATTCAGCTCTTCAATGAAGCTCCACAACTTTAAGGATAAAATTAAAAACATCTTTTCATCGAATAACCAAAGCAGCATAACACTGAATTTTGTTAACATTCAACGTTGGCTCATTTCAAAACTTTCATAAAAGCCAACTGTCTCCCAGAAAAAAACTCAGAATACATGTATTTCTCCTATGCTGTTTTAGGCAGTTCATCAGAATTCAATTATATGCAACAAACCACACACAGGTTTAAAGGTCTATGCCATCTTTTAAACTTCTAAGAAATGCACCTCTGAGTTTCAATAAACTTATTACAGTTTTTGATTAGCTATTTTGAAAGGCATTTTGGTGCCTTTTTAACACATGTAAATTTCCATATTAATGAGCAAAGCTGTAATATCATTCCAGAAAAAAACTACACTATTGCATTTATTTGTAAAAACGATGCTGGAAATGTTAAAACTTTGCAGTTTATCATTTTCTTTGTCAATCTACTGTTGTTTGAGCACAGAGCAATTAATCTGTTAGAATCCCTTTCTTTTAAATGTTTTTAAAGAGCCAATTAGTAGCTTAGGAGTGCTTTCCTGATTGGTATCACAGCAAAAGTGCCCCCTGGGTTTGTTGTCCAAAAAAGCATGCAAAACTAGGTATTTTAAAAACCTACCAAACAGATGTCAAATTGTTTGCATCAACTGAAGAATATGAAGTTGCAGAAAAAGTGCGTCCATGAAAACATCACCACCTGGCCCTTCAATTTTGATGTGATTCAGTGTGTTCATAGAACTCAACTCACCAGAGGAAAGTGATGTGACAGGAACCCAAAGTTAGGTTGAGCAACAGACACAGTCTCTTTCAACTCAGCTCACAGGCCAGAGATAAATGACCTGACACGAACAAAACATGAGGTTGCATTTGAAGCAACATATGGGACGGAGAGAACCCCCTGCCTTTGTGTTAGTCATTGTTTGATCGGAATCTCAGGAATTCTTAACAGACTTCTGGGGGGCTTTGTTAGATAACAATAGTCTAGAGTGTGTATATGGATTGGACAGGTAAGGGGGGTACCCCTCCGTCCCATACCTTGCCTGATATATGAGCTTGAGCAACGTGCATTGTCTCTTCCAACTGAGTTCACTGACCAGACGTAAGAGATCCAATGAGAACACAGCATTACATAAAGCAGTTTGCATCATCTCTTCCAGGTCAGGTCACAGACCAGAGGCAAGCGACATGCACTCTCACTTTCTCATGAGATGGTAATGAATATGAGAATGCCCACATTCAACTCATCTTCATTCAAACATGTCATCCACTCTGCCTCCAGCCGCCATCAGAGTTTGTACAAGCAGAGCCTTGACGAGCACCTTGGAATGGGAGTATGGAATGAGGGCCATGTCCTCTTCACAATCTGCAGACAAAAAACAACTAACTCGATTATTATGAGAAGTTCAGAATGTTGAACATGAGGTTGTGACTTGGAACAAGTTCCATATTATTCAAAAGAGCAGGGATAATGGCCTGAAACGTATCCGAACACAAAACAAAACTGGAGTCACTGACGTCAATTTGTAATATGCCAGAACTGGTCTAATATATATAAAGTTTGTTAAATACAGAATTCCTCTGGAAGGAATTGGATATTACACAAAATTGGAGATTAAAAAACGCATTTCAGTTAAAAATTATAGGAAAGCCAAAAAACTTTCACAGACTTAACCTATATATAACGGGTTTGCCCTTACCCAACGTATATTAATAAGCACTGTATGCTCAGTGCTTGTCTGAGGGCTTGCAAAAAAACCTGACAAGCTTACTTGGGTGGGACTCGAACCCACGACCTCCTGCTTACTAGTGCAGATGTCTTAACCACTTGACCACCGAGCTTGCCAGGGTTGGCTGGCCGGTCCGAGTCAAATGAAGCAGCGGGTACCGCGAACTATTTTCAAGATGTATTTTTTATTTAAAAAAAATAAATAAATAAATACATCTTGAAAAAAAAGACTTAATCTACAAGCAACAAATTTTACCAGGTGCATTTATGTCTTGAAATTAATTTCATAGCACACAATGCTCGATGATTTTAATCCTGCAAGTGACTTACTTGTGTGGCATTCCCCTAAACTCTCCGGCAAACGTCCTTTGCAAAGAGGCTCATGCGCTCATCCATCACTTGTGCTATTCAGGGTACTACTACAGCTCTCTGCTGATTTGCATTGGCCATCCTAGACACAAATTGAGCTGACAATGAATTTTTGCCAGACACATCTTTTTGTACATCTTTAATCTCTTCTATAATGTACATGTATGAAACTATTTGAATCCTTTTGCTTAATTGTATTAAAAAGTGTATTTATTGTAATATTTAAAATTTCCCTTGCTCTTCTGGACAACTGAGGGCATTTTAGCCGGAATGTTAATCAGGAGAGACACTGCTCAATTTCTGAACCTAAAATTTGATCACTGAAAACATTTCTGAGAAGGGGTTATTGGTTGGCTCATTGCCGTTTATCTACACAAGAAATTACCAAAGAAATGGAAAGTTTGGGCAGCAAAGTAAACACATTGCAACATGGACATTTTCTCCCTAGGATGACATCACAGTTTTGCTCATGAATAGGAAATCTACAAAGAACAATAAACATACGAACCCCCTCCCCAAAACAGACCATAAGGTTACTTGAAACACACAGGTGCATTGTAAGGGTTGCACTACAATAACTATCTGGCCGGCACACTTAAAACAGCACTGCATTGCTCTTGTTAATTTGTATGACAGGTACTTTGTTCCCGAATCACTTAAAAACAGAACTGGTCTCAAAATGATAGGACATCCAGGAATAAATACATCACATATCAACCAGCTGACTGTACATCCTTTCATTCACTAAACTAATTAATAGTACAGACTGGCCCTTCGAAAGAGCACCAAGGATTTTTGCACTTCAAAATAAGGATGCATTCTGGACCCCTCCAATGAAATACATGGTCTGTCACTGTAAAGTTTCATGATGTCGTCTGCTCACCTTGAAGAAGTTAGATCGCTGTGAACAAATAGTTGAAGTGCACACCAGAGAAAATACACTATGCTGTACGTTCAGTGGTGAGAATGCAATCATTCTTGTCAAATCTGAAAATTACAAAACATATTTAGAATAAAATAAGTTAAAGGAAACT